AACCCACCCATCCATGAAACTTCCACCAACCCTGCAGCACTAGTGTATGCTAGCCATACATAACGTTGGACCCTATAGACTTTCGAATATCCAATCCTACCCTATGCTCCCAATCAAAAAAGAACAGAACATAAGGCCAAATCAAACATTCTCAGGCTATAAGATCTTAATTATGTATAACCGCGATGCATACACTAAGCAACTACAATAATGATGTCAATCTCATATAAAGGAAACCCTAGGCTAACAAGCATCATGTAATCACAAAATTTTATCATGCAATTCCTGAAGATCCCTAGCCTAGTACTAACATGCTATTCTACATATCTCATAATCAAATAACTTGTATGGTATTTTGGGGCTACTTACTGGCTCCGGCTGATCGTACACCCTGCATCCTCATTTACTTATTTTGAAAACCATTTTAGAAATCGTTTTGAAAACCTTTCCTTGATTTGAGACTGGATTCACACGCATGTTCCTCCAATTCACTCAAAACAAGGCTCTGATACCAACTTGTAACACCTGAAAAATTCAAGCCAATTTAAACTTTTAAAAACATTTCAAACCATTAAAATTATTACAACTTTGTTTTCAAAATGTATAATATCATGGTTTTCTCAGAAACATAGACAAAACATGAGGAGCTGTACGATCACGCCTTCGCCTTGCCGCGATCCCCTGATGTACCTAAAACAATAAACTGAAACTGTAAGCCCGAGAGCCTTAGTGAGTTCCCCAAAATACCGATACACTGCACATAACACATATATAAACAACAACATGTACTGGGTCCACAACTTTACAGGCTGGATTACCCCCTGGGCCCACAGTGTGAGTCTGGATTGCCTTACGGGCCCACAGCTCACATCTGGCTTGCCATCGAGCCCACAGTACGAGTCTCCCTTAGCCCGTAACTGGTTTACTCCCGAGCCCACGGTACGAGTCTCCCTTAGCCCGTAACTAGAATGCTCCTAGGGTTTGTTGGCTACCGCACGGAGCAGTACAACCTCAACCCATCCCACATAACATATAACATACAACATAACCACTGAGCATGCAATAATCATATAGCATCATAAGTAGTCCTACCGGTCTACCTAACTGGCATAACGACTAGCATGCAACACTAACTCATACTCAACATCTAACACTGCTAGGATAACATATCCAATGGGCTGGCCTTGGTGCCTTAGACCCCTTAGTATAGTGAGGATAACTCACCTCGCAACTGTCGTCTGAAACTAGAAAGCTCAACTCCCGGATCACCAACACGAACTCCCCCATCTATAGCTACCATAAAACCCTTTTTCATAAGTTTCCAAATTACCAAAATACCCTCAGAAGTCAACTGGTCAACTCTTGGTCAAAGTCAAAGTCCACAGTCAAAGTCAACAGTCCATGTTGACTCGACTCGTCGAGTGTAGTTCACCGACTCGTCGAGTCCTTCCTGAACTCGAGAAGTCGTGAAATCCTTGGTTGGCTCGTCGAGTTCCCTACAACTCGTCGAGTTCATGCGTGTCCAAAGGTTCGGGAGAAACCCTAGCCGACTCGCCGATTCATTCGACTGACTCGCCGAGTCCAAGGCATTCTTCATCTGACTCGCCGAGTTATTCATCCAACTCGTCGAGTACATGAATATCTTCATATGACTCGCCGAGTCGTTCATACAACTCGCTGAGTCTCTTCAGTCCTTTATTCATACAGACGATTTTAAGCCATGCTAAGGCTCCAAATTGTAGATCCAGCTTCCTAATGCCCGTTTATCACGTAAAGTTGAAAACTTTACGTGCATACAAGGCTCTAATGACTCATAATGCCAAATCTAAACTTGAAATAGGGTTTAACTCAAAAGGAAGGGTTCATACTTGCTAAGGCTGTAAGCTTTTTATGGACCTAAGGACCAAGGAGAGTTCAGATCTGAAGTTGCAACTTCAAATCTTAGCTCATGCCCAAGAATAGTTTCATAACATGATGAAAAGCCCTAATCTTCAACCCAAAAGAGATCTAGAAGGAAAGAAGGTCAAGGTAACGACTTGATACCTTCAAATGGTGCTATCTGAGGTAGATTTCAGGTCCACACAAGTTCCTTGATGCTAGCTACTTGATCTTCAAGTTCCCTTTTCTAAGAATCTTCCTCCAAAGCTTGAAACACACAAATGGAGCACACACACACGTATTAGGGTTTTGCTGAACTCTCTAGAGGCTGCAAAGGGAGGCTAAGGGGCAAATGGTCCTTTAAATAGGATGCAAAACCCCGGAATTTAGGGTTTCATCCTCCAGCTCCTACTCGTCGAGTCCCTTATTGGACTCGGCGAGTAGGTCACTAAAACACGTGGACCAACCCGCTGCTACTCGACGAGTCAAGGCAACCGACTCGTCGAGTAGGCCTTGAATTCAAAGAGATCTTATAACAAAATTCAATACCTGAGAATCGGGGCGTTACAAATATGCTAAAACCATCATATGTGGAGGATGATGTGGACATGTGGTTATCTATGTGGCAACTAACTCTATTCTTCTTCCCCAATTAATTCTTCGTGACATACTATACCTTATTTCTTAATTTTTGTCAATCGAACGTCGCTCACCCATGATAGTTTATTTTATTTACTTCTTTTTATAGTTTATTTTAGTATATTTCATTCATATTTTTAGTTAATTTCCATGCATATTTTCATTTTTGTTATTTTATGACCACTTTCGGGTACTTTTGAATTTCATGAGCATAATTGCAGGTTTTTGGAGCCTAGCGGAGCGGGAATTGTTCGGGACTTATGGAATGTGGTTGGACTTGGAGGACAACAAGGATCTTGGGCTTAATATCTAGTGGAGATGGTGCAAAAAAAATGGGCTTTAGATGGATGGAGCATGGAAGAAGATGACCTCTTAATTAAAAGAAGATGAAAGAATTTTTCAAGCGTGCGGGAATTAATGATCGGGCGATTACGAGAGCTATGGGTGATTCGGAGAAGACAAATTGGGTTCAAATTGAAGAGGACTTGAAGAAAAATGGGCTAGAAGCTGATTGGACTCAAACTGGGCCAATGAATTAAGTCGTGCAGGCCAATCTCCGTCACTCTTACACAGACCGCGTAATATTTCCACGCGGCCCGCGTGGATTCCTGCAGGGCAAATTTCGGGATTTTAATTGGAAGTCTATATGGGGAAGGTTGGTGTGCCTCTTTTCTCAACTTTTGCACATCCGAACTTGGGAGCTGTAACATCCCGAGATTTGTAGTTGGAGAAGAAGGTGTTGCATCAAGAAGTTGGAGAAGGAAGACAAAAAGCTCCAACCTTTATGTGTGTATGAAGTAGATCTAGTCATAGTAGCTTTATGAAACCATTTCTTGTCCCAAAAGTCCCAAGTTGGTGCATGTTATGATTTGAACGAAATAAGTTGTCCTTTTAGACCCTAGTAAGGGTCCTAAGTGATAAAAATGATGTCCCAATGGCTTAAAGTGTCCCATGCATGTAGTAGAAAGGTCTTAATGGGTTAAGACCATGTATTAAGAGCTTTATGGACGTCCAAAGTCTTAAAGTTTGAGACTTTATGGTTCTAAGACACATTTGGTCGATGGATCTGGAATTTGGGCTTAAGTGCTTAAGTCATTAAACACTTATTAGAGTTTTGGTAAAACTTGCGTACGCCCCGCGTAAGTTCTGTACACCCAGCGTATTGGGTCAACCACCCCGATGGTGGTCAACACAAGGCGAAGTACGCCCAACGTACCAGAAGAGTACGCCCCGCGTACGCCCTCTGTTGGGCTTTTGACGAATTGGGCTTCGGGATTGGGATGCATTTGGGCCAGTTGGATTGGGCCGCCTTTGGGCCAGTTGGATGTGGGCCTTTGGGCCAATTGTATTATATATAGACACATACATGCAAATGGATGTTGTTTATTCTTGTATTTAACCCTAAAGAAGTAATCAAAAGGACAAGAAGCGTAAATCATGGGGTTGCAAACAATGAGAGATTTATTGGAATCGGGGGAAGGGGAATCAACCTAGAGAAGAGGCCGATGTGATTGGATGTGTAGTGGGGAAAAGGAGGAAGGAGAGGTTGATAGTATAGAGAGAGAAAAAAATGTATAAAGAGGGAAATAATTATTTTTGAAGACATTCAAATCAGAGAGTAAATGGGAAGAGGTGAAAACTTTGTTACAGTCTGATCGAAGCTTTTTTTATTTTATTTTTGCTTAGTTTCCCTTTTTAATGGAGAGTTGTCAATTTCAATCGGAGACATTGTCTTGTGGATTCCCGATAGAAGCCGCTTTGGTGACAAAGTTAGTCCAATTTAGCTATTTACCATGTAAAATGCTAAGTCAACTTGACAACCTGCAATCATGTAAAATGGTGTAATTAAAATGTTATCAACAAGTTTAGTGATCTAGAATACAAAAGATGATCTAGAATACAAAAGAAAAGTAAAAAAATAAGTGATATTTTAAAACAAGTGGAAAAACTTTTAAATTAACATTTTCCTTAAAAAAATCATATAAATACCCGTTTTCTTACATAAATTAGTAAAGAAATAAAATTTTGTTAAATAAATAAACCCACTACCATATTTTAATTATAATATATATTTTCCAACTCTAGTAAGTAATGTTACATCATGCACCTACGTTATACAAAGTTTAACAAATTCTTCAAATGTCATCATCACAAGTTTTGAAAGATTCAATATACGGATTTGAAAGATTAATTGTTTAACACATTTAAAAAAGAAAATCAAACGAAGCTATCATGAACAAGTCTCTTGTTATTGCTTGTCAAACATCACCGGTTACGTTACACTCGATTGATGGAAACTTATTAGAATACAAAGTTTTGACAGATTCGCCAACTCAATTCTCATAAAACAAAAAAAATCATTTATGTATTACAATAGCCTGTTTTAATTTTTAATATATATTTTTCTAAATAAAATAAAATTAAAAACCTTCAAATCTCCAATCTTTAAGCATATAACTTCAAATATAACAAAAAGTTTTTTTAACCTGTTTAAAAACACTGTGTGGTCTCTCTCACTTTGCTTTCGGCTATCAAAGAAGCTTAATAAGCCACAAAAAGCACTTCTTCCCCCATTCTTTATCTTTTGCTTTTTCAAAGTAACTTTCGTTTTTGCGTTTAAATAAAAATAAATATGTATAATTGTATATACATATTCTTGGTGCTACGACGTCGTGTCTTTCCTCTCCTATGTTAACTTCCTCAAATCCCAATCTGCTTTTTACCCATTTTCATCATTCGAAGAAACCGTTTCCAGGAGCCATGGGTCCCATTGTTATTCCAATTCCCTCCAAACTTTCCCTTTTCTTGGAAGAAGTAATTTCTCAGCTCATCAACACTCACTTTTCACCCACTCAGTCTCAATCCAAGAACACCAACTTTTTTGTTTTATTTGTCTGTTCTTTCTTCACTGGCTTCCATAATTTAAAACCCCACGAGAAAGATTCAATCTTCAGATATTATATTACTTTTTTTTTTTGTTGTTGTTGTTGATTACGATAGGTTTTGAACAAGTCTTTTATGTGGGTTTCTTGTAATTTAACTCGAGGTTCGGTGAATTTGATGTGGGTCTGTTAATGTTTATCGGACAAAAAAATGGAAGAAGAAGGTTCATCAGTAAGATTGGTTCGCTGCCCTAAATGTGAAAATCTTCTTCCCGAGCTTCCTGAGTACTCTGTTTACCAGTGCGGAGGCTGTGGTGCTGTTCTTCAAGGTAATTTTGCAACCTTATACCCCATTCATATAAATTAAATTACTTTATCTTCATGTTTTGTAATGTGTTTATATATATATTTTGACTTTTGATAGTCAAATCATTAGCTTTCTAAGTTTTAACTACAAAATCTGTAAGAACTGTGTCGATTATTGAAAGAAACTTGTTAGTTACATTAATTTTATAGAAACGGGATTCATGTAAGAACACATTCTTAGCTAACGTCAATACCAATAGAGACTTGGAATATGCAAAGTCCCACGTTTGACTTTCCAAAATCAGAAATATGAATAGGAGATGACAAGGTACATTCTTGATTCTTGAAAGAAATGTGTATGATATATGTGATGGATGTTGTGTTTTGGATGAATCAGGAAAACAATCCACTCCAGCTCGTGAAAAAAGACTCTTACAAAGATCTGATAACGAGAAGAAAGAAAAAGCTAGTCTAGAGTCTGGTTCTGTTATCGAAAGAGAAAATGATGAATTTGAGCTTGGAAGAAGGCAGGGTAAAACCGTCCACGAAAAAATTTCAAAACTGTCCGCTAGTTCTTCATCTAAAAAAGAGAAACGCGAAAGATTCACAGATTCGGATCAAATTAGGAAACGAAGGCTTGATTTTGATCAAACCAAAGTGAAGGTTTTCAACGATTGGGACATGAATGTTCCTAATTATGGCGAATCACAAGAAATTAGACACCCTTTTGGTCCAATTAGGTCAAGGACAGTGGGGATTCATAGAAATTCTAGTACAGTCGAAAGGGATAGATTTGGGAATTTACCATATTCAAACGAAGGTCCTTCAAGTTCTCACAGCTTTGGTGGTTTAAATGAGCTGACAAGGGTTCAAGATTTAGAAAATGATAGAGCCCAGCTTCTTCAAAAACTTGATGAATTACGAACTCAACTTACCAGATCATGCAATGTAACCGAAAACCCAAATGGAAGATTAACCGGTTCGTATCCATGGCCACATCAGCCTTCACATCATCAATACCTACCTCCAACATACCATGACCCTTTTCTTGGCTACAATCAAGACACCCTTTTTCATCGCCCTTCATGCTCATGTTCACAATGTTACAACACGAATTGGCACAGTAATACCCTTCCAAAGATCCGTCCTTTTCCGTCTTTTAACAGCCTCCCTGCTCATGATCCTCTGACTTACGGTCCACGTCAGCTGCCACGTCATCTTGATTCGGGAACTGGTAATTTTGGTAGAAGATATCCAAGAAGACGGGTGATTCTGAATCATGGAGGCGAACGTGTATCGCGTCCTGTATCTGGTGGTGCTCCTTTTATAAGTTGTTGTAATTGCTTCGAGTTGCTAAAAATCCCTAAAAAACTTTGGGTTATGGAAAAGAATGTTCATAAAAAGATGAAATGTGCAGTTTGTTCTTCTTTAATATCCATAACACTTGAGGATAACAGAATCGTTACGTCAGTTTCTTCATCACAACAAAAAGTCAACAAAACAAAGTCAAACCCTAGCGTTCATAGCTCTCGTGATTACGATAAATCCGGTTACAATTTCCAGTTAGCAGACACCGAACCAAATTTATCACCGAATGAGCAAAGCCCTGATGCTGCTGCAACTGTAATTGACAAAGCCTCATTGTCAATGTCAAATGAGAATTTAGAAAGTGAAAATAACGATTTGAGTCAAAGTCAAAGAAGGGACGAGGAAAGGGTGATTGTTGAAAACAAGAAATCTTTGAAAGATGCATTGGTGGCGACAGAGATTGATGTGTCTTTAACTGAGTATTTAAACTGTGAAGTCGTTAGTAAAGATAAAGAAGATGATCAATTAAGGAACAAGAAAGGGGGAACAGAATCTTTTTTTGCGGGTTTGATTAAGAAGAGACTTAAAGATTTTTCAAGGTCGAGTAGTGAACGTGTAGTGGAGAAGGGAAGATCGGATGTTTTTGTGAATGGTCAACTTTTGACTGATCGTCAAGTTAAAAAGGCAGAGAAGTTAGCTGGGCCTATTCATCCCGGAGAGTTCTGGTTAGTACCAATTTTGACTTTTATGGTCAAACATGTTGCCGTTTATATTCGATTTTGGTATTGGATTTCGTTATAATGTTAACACCATCATTCTTTATGGTTGTGTTGAACTGTTGTGAAGTCTATTCATCCATCACCATTTTTACTCAATTCCTAAGAAAATGTCGAAATTCATGAATTTAGAAGTTGGCATGTGGGACCTCAAAAGTCAAACTGCAACTTGTTTTTGACCTTGAAAGTCAAACCTTCCTCATATATTTACTCTTCTTCTTCAATCAGGTATGACCCCATAGCTGGATTCTGGGGAGTGATGAACCAACCTTGCCTTGGGATTATTCCTGTAAGATCGGTTTTGTTGTCTTCATTTTTGAGTTCAGCTCGTTCCATTTTCTGTGTTTGATGTCAAAATTCAATCCGATTGCTACCATTTTGCAGCCATTTATCGAAGAATTTGACTATCCGCTGCCTAAGAACTGCGGTGCTGGGAACACTAGGGTTTTTGTGAACGGAAGAGAACTTAACCAAAAAGATTTAGATCTTCTTGCAGGCAGAGGTCTTCCGACGACGAAAGATAAGTCTTATATCATCGACATTTCCGGGAAAGTCGTGGATGAAGACACCGGCGAAGAACTTGATGGTCTTGGCAAGCTTGCTCCGACGTAAATTTTGACTTTTTTCTCGTTGTTTGTTGACCTTTTTCATGAATATAATTTCGTCTAACAGGGTTTCTTGATGATCATATACAGGGTTGAGAGGGCAAAGCATGGATTCGGCATGAAAGTTCCGAAAACTGTTGTTTCTAAATGAATCAAATGCAATTTGGGTTGAAGATATTTACGTATGAGTAGTTTGAGATGTTCGTTATGTTATACGAATTTCACGTTGTTCAGGTTTTATTCGTTAATATTTTGTGATGTTGGTATTATATATATATATATATATATATATATATATAATATATATAAATGAAATACTTGATATTAAATTTGTTAAGAATTTGAGTAATTAATTAATAGTTTTGTTGAATATTAGTTGTGAGACTCATGTATTACATGAGTTAATTTAAAAAAAAATTAAATATAAAGATTAAAATATTTGAGAACTTTGAATTTATAAAAAAAATAAGAAAAATAATGAATTATTATAATGAAAATGTTTTTTATCTTTTAAATTTAAATAAATAATTTAAATAAATAAACAAAAGAAATTAATAAACTTTAATTTTGGGAATTTTGAAATTAAAAGGTAAGTTGATTAATGAAATTGATATCAATTTATTATTATATTTATTGTAATTATTACATTAAAATATTATATAGCATTTAATAAAATAGAAAAATTCATAAAATAAAATATGAAAAAAAAAATTAATTCAAAATAACCATAAAATGACATTTGGCAAATTGAATGAGAATGTGTGATAAGTGGCAAAAAAAAAAAAAAAAAAAAATTTAATTTATTAGAGTAAATATAGAATAAATGAAAAATGTCAAAATCTTTGCAACAATAGTTAGTAATGAAAGGGGAAGGAATATTTGCATCGGATGTAGGAGAGAAAGAGAGTCAAGATTACGTCAGAAGTCAGAAGCATGTGATTTGATTCTAGTGTTGCTGGTTAAGAAACCTTAAATATGTGTTTTTTATTAGATACCAATCTTTTCTTCCCAGTGCTTTGGCATCATGGGTTATTTTCTCAAAAAATTATTATATTCTAGTTATTAACCAGTAAGCTAAGTTATCTTATTACAATTTTAGTATATATTTCTTTTGAGAAATTAATTAATCTAATTATAATTTAATGTGTAGAAAATAACTAAAAAAATTGTTTTCTCTAAAAATAATCAATTGGTCCGGAATAAGTATTTCGGACTAAGAAAAACCATTTTTTTATTTATAGAAAAGTACATTTCAGATCGGAATTACGGACTAATATTTCGGATTTTAGACTAATATTACGGAGTTCGAAAAAAAAAACTCCGGAATTTTTAAGAACAAGTCCGAAATCCAATGAACAGTTCCGGAATTTCAAACTAAAAACCGTTTTTTTAATTAATTTAACAAAAAATTAAAAAAAAACATAACAAATGTGAAATATATATACATATTATGCCATAAAATCAAACAATATTTGTTTTTGAAAAACGATGACATTAAATAGATTGAAATACACATTTCGAACATAAGTAGAGATATTTATTTGGAAAAAAATAGAAAAAAACCAAAAAAGAACTCCGAAATTTAAAGATCAAATTCAAAATGAAACATTCATAAGTAAGTGATCATTTTGTAAAAAAACTGATAAAAATCATTATTATTTTTAAAAAGACTCATTTATAATAGTTAGTTACTCAATTTTCCTATTCTTTCGGATAATATTTGTGACATTCCTAATTTTACGGTCAATTAATTTTTTTTCTATGTTTATTTAAAACAGAGTATATTTGATTAGTACAAAATTTATCCCAAAACGTTATTAATTTGAAATGATATCAATATCAAAGCATTTCCGAAGAAACGTTTTTTATTAATATTTAAAAGGTTGAGATGTCATTACTGATCCAAAAACATAAGCTACTAGTATTTACAGGTTATAAGCATGTCTATGTTCCACTGGACTGTCTAGAATAGTTTGTGGTCCTCATTTATAGTTTGTAGATGACTAATCCTTAGTGGTACAATAGTACAATGCATGGCCTCTCACCATTAATTTATTTTCCACAACCCTTCACTACCCAATACAATTGTAAATATGATAAATCAACTATATAAGTAAAATCATATCATATTATTGCATCTAGCATAGATATCAAGAACACAGATAATAAGTATATATAACATGTAATTATCTAAATAT